TACTAGGTAATCATTGAAGGTGAAATGTAAGTCTGAGACCCACTTGAAGACCAAAAGTTTTTCTCGACTACTATGTGAATTTGTAATGCGCAACTATCACTGGATCGTATTCATTCTGACTATCTAACCGGGACTTTTTATCCAAATTCAAATGTTTGTGAATCAGAGAGAGAAAGGAACATCATATTGATTATTTTTTTTTGACTATTTGAGGTAGCCCTTGATGACTGAAGGGAAACTGAGATTTGCTCAGTGCTTCGAGTACTACTGTTGCCTAGATTTTCACTTCACCTTCAACCACCGTCCAGCACCCAGTGGTTCAATTGTGACGCGCTGGCCGTGAAACCTTAAGGTAGCGGGTTTGATCCCTGGCGGGGTCGTGGGCGCGCACTGCTGAGGAGTCCCATACTAGAACGAAACAGCTGTCCAGTGCTCCTAGGTATCCCTTGTTCCTCCAAATGGTGTCAGTCTATGATGAATAACAACTTGAAATATTTCCAAATCTCCACAACTCCCTCAAAATTCAATTTTTCAGTGAATTAGAGAATTACAGATAGTTTCATATTCTGAATGAGTTAGTGTATACATCCCTTTGTGAATAACTCGAGATGTTTGATAGTAAGTGTTGTTCATTCGAGGTTCATTACGTGTTGAGACTTATCAGTTTCATGTATCATCAGTATCTTTAAGCAAAAGGAATATTGTTTCTTGGCTGAATAATTGAAAATACCACCATTAATTTTATCCATCTGTTTTGATTAGTTAAGCCGACGAACATCAATAGTGTGACGTCTATATGATGAGGTAATTTTAGACATTAACAATAATAATGTTGTTGCTTGTATTATCCCATCTTTGAGGGAATCGAATTGATTGGTCTCTATTGGCATATCGGCTCCTGTGCAGACGTTTCAATATTGCCAGTGTTTGAGTTATATGATAAGGATGGACAGTGGCTAGTAGTGGAATCTAGATTGATCAATTAGGTCCACTTAGCGACGGGATAATACAAGTAACAATATTAAAACTATATCCATCGTACAAGAAGTGACGCATAACGTTCTGGTGTTTGAGCTGATTGGACCCTGATTCAAGTCCTAATGGTGACAACGTCATTCACTGGGAGACAGGTGTATCAAGTTGAAGAGTTCAAAAATAGGACGAAACGCATGTTGTGGGTTTCACTGTTAGCCATTATCTATCATTAATATCAATAAGAATAAATAAGTAAACAAATTAACAGATAACTGCACTTTTAAATGCAAGTTATTATGTATTTTCAAAGTTCACTAACTATTCAACCAGCCGGTAAGGGAATCCAGGAAGTGCGTTTCATACTGTTTGGAAGTCGTCAAATGTATCAACCTTCCTCTTTGTGATGCTGTTCTTAGTGATCTATGAACCCAAAAACCCGTTGCCTCAAACGCCAGAGCGTTGTACAGTAGACTGAAGGCCCAAGATTCCCGACCACCCTTCCCTTCGAATCATAGACGGTGTATCATGTTGCTACCACGTCAGTAATGTAGAAGTTAGGCGCCAAGTTTTAGGCAGAAGAGGAAAACCAGATGATGAAGTTGTGAACTCTAATTGACTCGGTTGGCCATCTGTCTTATCGCGCAATGTTAACTGCAGTATACTTAGGCTGGGAAAAGGTTAAAAGTGGAGGAATTAAAATATGGTATCAGTCTCCGAAGTCTGTGACTGTCCTTCTGAGCCATGCATGGAAATGTAGGCTATCCGGTCGGGGCACAAGTGACCATCGAAATCGGTGGCTGAAGACTCTGGGTGATATGGCTCTGAACCAGTCTTATTGACCTAGATGCATCTACTCCTGATCTCCAACCTAATTATCATACCGGATTTCATTACTGCCTGATTCCTTCATGTTCTTTCTTCTCTAGTCTCTACCACCTTTGACTACATTTTTCCACATCTCTTTACTTTTCGTTTGGGTTCTTCTTAACCTGGTGTGACGACATGAGGCGTGGCAATTTGAACTGCCACTTAGTAATGACACGTTCACTAGACTAGTCACTCTATATGCAACAAAGATACTTTCATGTTGTAACTTTTTATCTCCCGCTGTTGACTGGCTCGAATTGAACAGCTGTTTCCCGCCATTTCTGTAAGCAACGCTACAGTTGAATTTGTAGTGAGTAGGCTTGAACACAGATGAAAAACTAGTTAGCCAGTTCTAGTTGTGTTTTTTTCAGTTATAACAGAATATTTTATAAGGAGTAAGGAGAGAGAGAGAGAGAGAGAGGGCGAAGATGAGGAGTGTGTGTGTGTTCCTGTATTAGAGACAGTGACGACAATATTTTCACAAAATCCAAACAAATGCATTCTCAGACAACATCAGAGTAATAGAAAAAGTCTGTTTGGATGAATAACACGTGGACAATATTTTTTGTCAGATTAAAGTGAAAATTATGTACAGATAAACAACAAAAAACATTGAAACATTGAAAGAGAAAATTTTTTTTAATGTGTCTGTCTAAGATATGTCTAAGTAGAAGTTTTGTAAAATTAAAAACAAATCCACCAGTATTATTGTCAATATAACTTTCGTATGAAATTGTATTATGTTTCCATACAGCGGTTGATGAGACTTTGCATTATAAACAGTGATGAGTCACTTGGATAAGAGATTAGATTGAGATCCGTGAACGTTGATCACCAGACAGTGTGTTATTGTTGGCTTCATTCAGTAACCAATCAGTGTGTTCATGATCTAGGTGTGCAGGAGATCAGCTGAAGGTTAGACAACTCATTGATGAAATCTTTGTCTACATTAAATCTAAATCTTTGAAGAGATTTCTCTCTCCTCATCCCACCACATTGAGAATGGTCTGCTTCAGACTGCTTTTGACTACGAAGAAAGTGTAAAGTTAATTTATCCTCAGTTTCCAATTCTTACTGGAGTGATTCTCAAAATTCTATTTTATTGATGTTAAGGCATAAAAGAAAATTTATTTCAAACGGGCTGACTCCTCACACAATAATTAAGTGAAAAGGAGAGAGCTTGTTCCCGTCAATCTATATCTATCCTTTTCTGCCTTCAGTACGAGACACGTTCTCGTAAATAAACGTATTCCCGCCTAGGAGTAATTGATTTCCAATGGTTAATGAAAACTATTATAATAATCCCAATACACACGTAACTTTTTGAATGATTTACATCAGAAGCTTATTTCGTATAAAAATTATTAAGCTTATTTATTACCACTCCATACTTTTTAAGATGATGTAGAAAAAATGAAACAAACAGTCATGAAACAGTTAGTCCCTTTTATAAATTTCAATAGCGTAATTAGAAGACCAAGTTTACCATTGTGGAGAAAACAAAACACATACTTCACCAAAAACTTGAACATTACATCAATGATCACGTCACATCCCACTGTGTTCACCAATTTACATGTGTATGTGCGTGTGGTCACACATACATAGGGAGCAGTAATCGAATTACACAGTTGATGGTGTTAGAGCGTGTGCCTAAGTGGTTTCAAAAACAAATGTAGTATGAAACAGTGATAAATGCTGGTCACAGACGACCATCTTCATCTATAGATAAACATATCATAGAAACAGGTCACAAAGTTGATGTTCAAACAGCTTTCAAAGTTCTGTATAGAAAGAGTCAGGGACGTATTCTGAGATTTGTGGAAGCCATAGTCATACACAAATTTAAACCACCTTTATGTATACGAAAACAGTTTGCTCTTACACTACACGTACCTTGGTAAACTTTGTTTTCTTCTTATGATTAGTATCAAGTATGTCACTTCCTGTTTGTCCTCATCTTTTTTAATTTTAATCCCCTATTGTGTTAATTGTTGTATTTGTCCCCACACCCACCGACTCCTTGGTTTAATGTGTATTGACTTGACAAGTAGATGTGTGATCAGATTGTTCAAAATGTGTATTGCGCAAATACATCACATTGTTCAGATAAACTTCGTCTTCTAATTATGCTATCGAGAAAGAATCATGAGTTTTTTTCAAACAAATTTTGTTATACTTACAAGTAGTATAAAATGTTTTTTCAAAAAAGATCAAAATCTAACTTTTCAAAATTACATTATTTTGATGATATATGTATGAATAATTAGGTAGGCAATTTTACTACAGCTATAAATTTTTTGTTAATTGATGTTATTCACTGGTTACGGGTTTACAAGCTTCGAGCATAGAACAATGTTAACACGTTCTACCACTAGGAAATATACATGGATGTTTAAGGTTCATGTCAGATGTATGCTATAATAACCTTTTATGAATGATATGATTTATAACACTACATAAGTAAGAAATAATGGTGATTGAGTTTTAAACTATAGCTTAAATCTGGCAAGATAATTCATATCAGTCGACAGTTTCCTTTGTACATTTTCAAACTGAATGTAGCGGGTTACAATTCAAAGCGTAATCGATTAATAAACTTAAAGAATCTAGGGCAAAAAAATTTTCCTATCTAATTTCACAAATCGTTCAATGTAATAAAAATGATTTTACTATCATAGATTGAATTCAGTAGAGAATTCTAGTTAGTTTTTTTTTTAACTGACAGATGGTTCTTGTAGGGTACAATCATAAAATGACTTTTCATGTGATTGCATTTATCAAGTAGACAACGAATTCTAGCGGTGTTCATATCTCCTTATTCTAATCCATATTGTAAATGAATAAGAGGTGTAGGCTATCTGGTTGAGATCACTGACAAAATTGGATTCCGTAACTGGGATCTGTTAGTGATATGACTTAAAATTAGTCAGAATGGCTCATGATCGTTATGATTATAGTAAGAAAATGGTTTAACTGACCAACATAGTCAATTTGGACTTTTATTCCCTCTCTCTAATAGAGTATTTCCTCCATTTTCAGTTGAATAAGAGTAGAATTGAGGTCTGATTAAACATATTCCTACTCATTCTAAATATGCAAATTGTTTTAACTTACTAAAAATTATTTTTTTTCAATTATTGTTTTCTCATCAATAGATCTTCTATGTGGGTTGTACTGCTGAGAAGCATTCAGCCTCGAATTGTTTTCAATTTACTATGCAGAAATTTGGCAATCATGCATCAACACAACAGTTAAATGATAAATTGGGTAACATTAATAATTTAGGTAATTAGTATGCTGTTTTTTCAACCTTTTGTTTTATCTGAGTAATCATTATTATTATTATGAAGGTCAATGTTCAATGATTCAATGAAGTGCTGTCAAAGTTATACAAAAATAACAATATCATCATCTCAGTAGCAATCCAAAGAAAGGATATGAACTCACAGGTTCAACTCTACTACTTAAACTACCATCAAATTACAAAGTAGTATTCATCATGAACTGACAGGACTAGAGAGATGTTTCATCCCAGTATTGAATTCTTCAATACTACGCTCCAACAAACCTCCTCTCCAGTGATGGAACCCAGGAACTTCAGGTTTTGAACCATTGGGACAAAGTATAATGATTCACAGTTTTCAATAGTTCTCCAAATATGAGAACCAAAAGGCGTTCTAATTGCGTTCATATAAAATGGGCACTGTAACGCTATATTGTAATATGTTCAATAGACGACATTTAAGACCTAGTTAAGAGAAGGCTGAAAATATTGCCAAACTGATTAGCTCCAGTCATAAGTTGATAGGCTTTGTGGATAAGTAGACCCATTCTTTTAGTATTTTTGAAATCCATAGCGTTCAAGTAAGTATTGAAGGACTTTAAAATCTAGTTTTCTTACGACATATACATTCATCAATAAGTGTTGGTATTATTAGATGTTATTGGTATGAGAAATATTAGACTAGTGTTTGATTTGAACCAGTACATTTCTGATGAGTTCACTACCAAATAAATGAATCAATTATTCAGTATTTGGATCCTTTTCATAGGTTATAACCATTCACAGCTTTAGTGTATATATAAGCGCTTCATTCGTTTATTTTATCTCTTATTAACATGTCTATATCATTCAACTATAAATGAATGTCAATCTTGTTTTGTCTTTTATTGTCATCTCTGCTTTAACTAGATGAAAATCAGTCAATGTTCAATGATTCTGATAACTTTTATCGAATTATACAACATGATCATATTGCTTATCGTTATGAGATATTATCTTTACTGGGGAAAGGCAGTTTTGGTCAAGTTGTCTCAGCTTATGATCATATGAAAGGATGTAAAGTTGCCTTGAAAATAATTAGAACTGAACCACGTTTTACACGTCAGGTTAGTCTATTTTATTGAGTTTTTTGTATAACTGTTATTAAAGTGAATTAAGCTACTTTAATAGAATGATTGATGAAGATAATTGATCATTTGACACAGGCCCTTTTATGAATTTCGATAGCGTAATTATAAGATGAAGTTTATCGCAAAAATGTGTGATGCATTCTCGCAATACATTTACTTGTCAAGTCGATACACATTAAACCAAGGAGTGGGTGGGGGGGGGGAATACAATAATTAACACAATAGGGGATTAAAATTAAGAACAAGATATTCAGCGAAGAGACTCTTTTCAACGAATTTATTTTCAAGCTGTTCAATCGTATATATATACATGATATTTGAAAAAATTATATCTCGTGAGGAAAACTAAACACTATATGGTGATGACAATAATAATAGAGCGGATGATGACATAGGCACTTGTGATTATAATAACAATTGAAGTGAGAATGATAACAAATAGATTATGTAATATATGGAATGGTACATAGAGAGTATAGTATATAACTCAGAAGGGGACGCTCGCAGAAAACGGCTATCCTAGCCGATTTATTGATAAGAATATGCAAGAAACACATGCGAAACCAGTCACTAGCTCAGTTTCAAAAAGACTTTGTTCATGAACCTGGACTTCAAAGGTGATGCAGCATCAGATATCCTTAAAACTTGTCTTTCCAGATCAATTAGTGGGACCTTTTTCGCAGACAAAACACTTGATTTTTACCTGTCTTAAATTGTTCTCCGTTTGTATAAAAGACGATATCCCTCGACAGGCCACATCTATGTGTATCTACCAGTTCACCTGCTCCCGTGCAGCAAGGTACATCGGCCGTAGTCAGAGATTGCTGTCAACACATTTACGAGAACATATTCCCACCGGGTTTTATAAGGGTCAAAGGAAATGTATAAGAAGTTCCATCCCTGAACAATTAATCGATTCCAACGATTCAGCCGACTCAAACAAGGATTTCAAGGTTGTCTATCGAATTTGCCCTAACACTTCATGTTTCCTGCGTATTCAACTTCTAAAAATAGCAGACGCCTTGGCTGTCCATGAACTGAAGCCTGACCTTTGTAGGTAAAAGAAGTACGTACAATCTTTGTCTCTACCTTGGCCTTAATTTATTTTATTCATGGTAGGCTTCGTCCTTTTTTTGTTTTTAACTCCCTACCCTCTTTTTTGTCAGATTAATTTTTGTACTCTTTTATCGTCATTATCACTCTGTTTTTTGTATTTATTTGTTTCCGGTATTATTTCATTTGATCTTCCTAATTATCGCAACTTTTAACAAAACATTTTCAATCTACTCCAATTAACTTGTCTTATTTATATTACCTTATCCTTTGATTGATTATTAATGTTCTCACACCTTTTAATCTATATGCACCTAATAGATGATTTGAAAGTCTTACGTAACCCCTTTTTGTTACCATTCGACCTTTACGCCATCAGCTATCAACATTATAATTATCACCACCATCATTATTATTGTTTCAACCCACCATTATTTCAGTTAAATCTTCCTCACGGATTACAGTCTTTAAATATCACATATATATACGAATGTACAGCTTGAGAATAAATTCGTTGAAAAGAGTCCTCTTCGCTGAATATATTGTTTTTGATGTCACGATAGGAATAATGAACGTTAGAAAAAATTGTTTTCGTATGCATAAAGGTGGTTTAAATTTGTGTATGATTGTGGCTTCCACAAATCTCAGAATACGTCCCTGACTCTTTCTATACAGAACTTTGAAAGCTGTTTGAACATCAACTTTGTGACCTGTTTCTATGATATGTTTATCTATAGATGAAGATGGTCGTCTGTGACCAGCATTTATCAGTGTTTCACACTCCATTTGTTTCTGAAGCCACTTAGGTATATGTTTTTCTAACTTCAACCGTATAGCTTGATTACTGCTCCCTATGGATGTTTGACCACACACACGCACACACACACACACACATGTAAATTGGTGAACACAGTGGGATGTGACGTAATCATTGATGTAATGTTTAGGTTTTTGGTGAAGTATGTGTTTTGTTTTTCATAATGATAAGATTCGCCACATGTTTTCTTAATAGCTGATGTCAGCCTACGTCTTAAAATCATACTATTCAACTCCCCTTTATATGGTAGACTGATACGGACGCTTTTCTTAGGAACAGTGTATAAAGTTGGCTTTGGTGCTACTTGACCTCTACAACGGTTTATAAACTTCATCAGATATCCATTTTCCATAAGTTCTTTGGTCAGTAATTTGATGTCATCATCCATCGTATCTGGTGTACTGATACAACAGATCCCATTAAATAGGCGTTTCACCAGACCTCGCTTGTATTGGGTTGGACAAAACCGGTGAAAATTCAGGTATTGTCCTGTCCGTGTAGGCTTCCTGTAAAGTAACCATCTTATTGAACCATCTTCTCGTTAACTCGGAAGTATATCTAGGAATGGCACCAAAGCACCAAAGCCAACTTTATACACTGTTCCTAAGAAAAGCGTCCGTATCAGTCTACCATATAAAGGGGAGTTGAATAGTATGATTTTAAGACGTAGGCTGACATCAGCTATTAAGAAAACATGTGGCGAACCTTATCATTATGAAAAACAAAACACATACTTCACCAAAAACTTAAACATTACATCAATGATTACGTCACATCCCACTGTGTTCACCAATTTACATGTGTGTGTGTGTGTGTGTGTGTGTGTGTGTGTGTGGTCACACATACATAGGGAGGAGTAATCGAGTTATGCAGTTGAGGGTGGGAGAACATGTGCCCAAATGGCTTCAAAAACAAATGTAGTATGAAACAGTAATAAATGCTGGTCACAGACGACCATCTTCATCTATAGATAAACATATCATAGAAACAGGTCACAAAGTTGATGTTCAAACAGCTTTCAAAGTTCTGTATAGAAAGAGTCAGGGACGTATTCTGAGATTTGTGGAAGCCATAGTCATACACAAATTTAAACCACCTTTATGTATACGAAAACAGTTTGCTCTTACACTACACGTACCTTGGTAAACTTTGTTTTCTTCTTATGATTAGTATCAAGTATGTCACTTCCTGTTTGTCCTCATCTTTTTTAATTTTAATCCCCTATTGTGTTAATTGTTGTATTTGTCCCCACACCCACCGACTCCTTGGTTTAATGTGTATTGACTTGACAAGTAGATGTGTGATCAGATTGTTCAAAATGTGTATTGCGAGAATACATCACACATTTTTGAGATAAACTTCATCTTATAATTACGTGATGGAGATAATCGATCGTTTATCACAGACGAGATTAAGAGTGAAAGACGAAAACTACCGAATTTATTGATCACCAGTACAGTCGACTAGCAACGGCATACGCAGACTGAAACGTAGATTTCCACAGTATCGGTAAGGAGAGTCACTAAGCTAATCATGGATTACTCTGTGGCATATCTTACGACTGGTCTTAGGTTTGAGTCCCGAGTCTCTCAGAGATGATTACTGAGGAGTGCCAAATGCGACAAAACGCGCATTTCAAAGTAACTGAAGGGGATTACTATGGATTATTTCCTAATCCATTGATAGTTTGCATGTTCATATATTTCCTAAAGTGAATGAAATTTTCCTGCAATAAGTATAAATTGGATTACATTTTAGTACTACACTGATCAACCTAATACAGCATTATTTCTGACTATCCTAACTATATTACTTAATTCCAAAAAGTTAGTAGTATTGATCGAAGTGGTTTGTGGGATTGGTGGAATTACCACGCATCCCTACAAACATCTGAAGTAAAGATACCTGTCCAAAAGTTTGTTTTTAGTGCCTTCAACTGTTTCTCACTCTCTTTTTTTTTTTACAAATCAGAGCATTTACGTGTTTTTGAGAGACAGCCTTGAGAAAACCCTGAACAAATGGTTTTGAAAATTCGTTTTTTTTCTGTCTACGTTATTTTTTTATTTGTGCCAGCAAAACATGAAAATAGTTTTTATGGTAATAAAAGAAGAGAGAGAAAAATCCAACAGTTTGCATATAACAAGTTTTGGACAACTTTTATGTCTGAAAAAATCGATATCGAGTGGAAAAAAAAAGTATTTTCTGTTAAGGCAAAAAAGGAAAGTGGATGATAATGAGCTCATCCTGTTCGACGATAGAACAAAAACTAATCGGAAGATACTGTTTCAGGTATGTGAATTGGCAAGAAGAGTATAGAATGTGTTATTTGTCATCTTTAACATCTGATTTCAGACTCACTTTGTAACAGGTCACCAATGAACACTGAATCCTAACGCAAGTGGAGTGTTCTAGGGATGGAATGATTTCAAATTAGTCTTCATCCCTGATTGGTATCAGCTATAGCTTGATTGAAAATCTGATATTCTCCCTTTAAACCTTGACTGCACAGGATCGTACAAAAAAAGATTATCGATCAATTATTATTATTTTTCCCTTGGGTTCCTAGTGGAACATACGGCTTCAGTAGTACGCCATCATTGCACTGTCTTCTCTGCAGTTTTTTCAGTCTAGCTCCACGACTGCCCAGAAGCTTTCATTTCTTCCTCACATGATCTCCTCCATGTCACCTCACCTCGGACGCCCAACTCGTCTTTTCCTCTTTGTATTCCACTCAACGGCCTGGTCTGGCATGTAATGTCCCCAATCAACTTTCTCAGTGTATGCCCAATCCATCTCCACTTTTTTCTGCATATTTGTTGAGTGATAGGTTCTTGGTTGGTTCGTTCCCAGGCCAGAGTTCCTTGTTGCTTATTCTTTCTGTCTATCTGATCTTCAGTATCGAGCCAGCTTAGGCAGCTGTTGATGAATGTCTATAGTTTGTTGGATGTGCTTCTTGTGATGTACCTTATAGATGAATATAAAAAGTTTATTACTGGCTTGAATGATTAAATATCCCACCGAACAATATAACTAATTAGGAACGAATCATGTTTATCTACTGATTTCACTGGGTGTTTATTCCACCGGTTTGGCGGTAGAGGTGTAT